GAAAGCTTAAGAATACTTGCAAAAAAATCTTAATATTAAATAATTGAATGAGCTGTCTCACAAGTGAAATTAAATTGATACCCACTTCTTAGAATATAATAGTTAATTAGATTTTATGGGTATGGTAAATATATAGTTATTAATTTTTTACATTTTTATTGATTTTTTGGAGAGAGAAAGCAAAAGGGAGAGAGAGACATTGATCTATTTTTCCACTGATTTATGCGTTTATAGATTGATTCTTGTATGAGTCCTGACTGGAGGTTGAACCCAGAACCTTGCTATATCAGGATGATGCTCCAACCAACTGATCAGCCAGGCCAGGGCCAGGGCCAGGGCCAGTTCACATTTAAAGAGGGTCCTTGAAAGACTTTGAATTAACATTTTAATGAGAGCCCATTTGTAGAACATAAAAATCCCAGACTTCTAGATAAAAAGTCAGCTATACATTTTAATTTATTAAGTAGTATTTACAACATCTCTCACTTTTCACTTCTATTTTTGAAATAGCTATTTTCCCTTTAAGCAGACTGTTGAATCAGAATGAATAACTCCTTGCAGAGCTTTCCAGCTGGTGTGTCTGTCACACTGATATGCTACTAATGTACGATGAAGAGTGTGCTGGAGTGGTGATTGTCTTGTTCTGGGGTCACTGCTAGAGGGAGGAGCTGCTTAATCACCCTTCCTCTTTCCTCAGTGTAGCCAGTGTGCCCTACAAGTTGTTATTTGAGGAGGGAGGGTTAAATCCAGAGAAACAATGATTTAATGAGCATCAGTCTGACTTCTTGTATGTAAAAGTTTTGCAGAAGAAACCAAGTATTAAGCTTTATAAAGTTATATTGAAATCTTAAAAGAACAATTATATACAATTGGAGTTAATCAAATATATAAAGTTTTTCTCTCTGAAATTCTGACCTTTTATTATAATTAATGGAAATTCAAGGAACATCTGGGGTTTTTTTAGTCATAAAACCTAAGAGGGCCTAAAGGTTTTAGCTAAACCTTTCTAAGACCTGCTTTGGAGGAAACAGCTCTTTGGAGTCACTTGCTCGCTTTTTGCAAAAACAGATTTAATGATTCCTGTGTTTTTTAAATTTTTTTTATCCTCACCCAAGGACATGCTTATTGATTCTAGAGAGAGGAGAAGGGAGGGGGAGAGGGAGAGAAGCATCAATGTGAGAGGGAAATATCCCTCAGTTGCCTCTTGCACATGCCCCAACCGGCACCAAACCTGCAACCTAGGCTTGTGCCCTGCCCGGGAATCAAACCCACAACCTTTTGGTTTACAGGACTATTCAACCAAACTAGCCAGGGCTGATTCCTATCTTGACAAACTCTTTTTTCATGCAAGTTTCCCTATAGTAAAGAATTGGTATTAATTATTGTTACTAGTTATTTTATATTCTTTAAACTTTAGTATTTCTACATTGTTGAACTTTATCTTACAACATTAGAGCTTACCCCAGGCTTTGTCATTTTATTAGGTTGGACATAAAGTTAGTTTGGTTTTTCCATAAAATGGCTTTATTGACACTTAGTTGTCTTGAACTTCATTCGAAACAATTTTGTTACATTGTATTGTGACAGCTGTCACATCAGCGTGTGTTTAAAAAAAACTTACCAAAATTGGTGAATTTGTGTGTAGCCATTTTAATATTGACAATGGAAGAAAATATGCAACTTTTTTGTGTATTATGCTTTATTATTTCAAGAAAGGTAAAAACAGCTGAAACGCAAAAAAGGATTTATGCAGCGTATAGAGAAGGTGCTGTGATTGATCAAATGTATCAAAAGTGGTTTGTGAAGTTTCTTTGTACTATTGACATTTTGGCCAATAATTCTTTGCTGTGGGGCTGTCTTATGCACTGGAAAATGTTTAGGAGCACCCCTGGCCTCTACCCACTAGAAGCCAATATCAGGAGATACTCAAAATATCCTAATCAATAAAGTTATTGGAGAAAATGAAAAATGTGTCTTTTATTTTGTGGAAAAAACGTTATGAACTTTTTGGCCAATCCAATATTTGTCCTGAAATTTTTATTGTATCCCATATGACATCATTGCTATGGGATGTTCCAAATCCTCAAGAATTTTGCCTTTATTGAGGATGAGATTTAAAGGTATCTTTCTCCAAGTCTGATTCCAAACTGCAGATATCTAGCCTTTCCATCTCATCCTAAAGGATTTCTTCCTAGTAGTAGATTACACTTTCTATTTAATCAACCGTTTCAAGGGAATTGCTATGATGTGATGCTAAAATTAAAAGCCATCGAAAAGGACAGCTGAACACATGTATCCAAATGAGTAATTCTTATCAAATTAGTCTTCTTTGGGAGTATATATACTTACTCAGTTGCTGCTGACATTTCTTGTGTTACATATGGTACTTGTAAAATACATTTTATAAAAATAATGGTTTCATTTATTTTACATCAATGAATAGTCTCCTTCATATATTTTTTTCTCTTTCCTACATTTGTTCTTCTCACTTCACTCACTCACTACTTACCCCGTTCAGCTTCACTCATCCTTTCCCACTTTGGGATTTACAGGACTTAGATGGAATAAGTGTTTAGCCAAGGAACATCTTAGGATGAGATAGTCATGAAACAGACTGAATTTGGGAGGATAGTTAAATCATTACATATAATGATGCTTTTAGGAATTAGGGCTCAACTCATTTGGGGAACCTCAATGCAGGAGGTCAGATAAGTGTTCAAAATATTCAAGCTATTATAGTGACAACTGACAGAAACCTGTGTGCAAACTGATTCATATAATAAAGGGACTTAATTGGTTCATACAGATAAAAAAAACAGATAGCAAAGGCTTCAGAGATGATTTAATTGGTACTCTGACGTGGTATCTCTACTCTTCTGTTGGTTCTGCCCTTCCCTGACCAAACAAATAATATTTTAACTAAACTTCAAAATATATTTTTTCTTAAATACAGCCTTCTGGTTAAAGTTCTTAGGTATCTTTTATATATATTTAAGAAGCCTAGCATATTTGTAATGTAGAACTTGTTAAAACGGATCTTTGCTTAGGTGATATATATGTCTTCAAATATATAAGAAAAGTTTTAGAGCCTGTAGAAATTATAATTATTCTTTTATTGCTATACAATATTAGTTACATCAAACTGCTTGAGCAGGCCATATTCCACAAAAGGTTTTTAAGGCATATTGCCAAAAGAAGAAGAAGAAGAACAACAACAACAACAACAACAAGGGCAAGGGCTATAGCAGCGAACTTTTCAGCCAGTGTGCTGCGAGAATTTTTAAAACATACGATACCCTACTATATAGTCAGGGGCACTGACCTCTTTTCCCTTTGTCAAGAAAATGACAATAGCCAACACAGCAATAGTAGTTTAGAGTGAATAAATTAAAATTATACCTATTTTTTCCTCAGGCTGGCAAAAATATTTTTTGGTGTGCTGCAGAATTTTAATAATTAGTTTATGTGTGTCATGAGATGAAAAAGGTTGAAAGTCACTGGCTCATAGCAGTAACTTGATGAAAGGATTTGAGGAATAGGCAGGGTACATAAGAATTCAGTTGAGATGGCAAGGACAATTAGTGCAGAAGAGCATTCGTGTTGGAATTACACCTCGACTACATTAGAGGAGCTACCCGTTCTGTTGCTGGAGTAGCTCTAAGTAGTTCCTCATTCCGACACGGATGTTAAGGGAAAGTGTGTAGAACGAAAGTAGAGGGGAGTCTTGGTTGCAGTCAGAGGACAAAGCCAGGTGATGTCTAAGGCCCTTCTTCCTGTAAATGGAAAGGTAGCAGTAGCTGTCTCTGCACTGAAAAATGCTCTTCACCGCAACTCCTTACTCTCAAGGTAATTGTCCAGGACCTAAAGTACATTTTAGAACCTACTTTTTAAAAAATCCTATAAATATTCAGATACCGCTAAGATACATTTTAGAGGATTTTCAAAATTCAAATCAAAATGTATATCTTGCTGCTCTACAGAAACTGACACTGCGTGATCTTCAAATTGCATTCTTGAGAGATAATAGCAAGTGTAGAACAGTGTGTACAGTATCTATAGTACAAGGAGAAGTATGTGTATACATGTATGTTTGATTATGTGTGTACAAAATATCATGGCAAGACTACACTAAAAATCTGTTAACAAGTGGTTGTCTCTGTGGAAGGAAATGAGCAGTGGTAACTGCTAAAAGTAACCCAGTGCTTTTCTGGTTTCAGGAGTTACTCGTAGTTTAAGTACATGTCTCTGGATCAGAGCGTCTTACTGTAAGCATCACATGCGCCTTCCTAATTAGAAATAATCCAGAGATAAGAAGCAATCCTGTTTTCATTCTCTAGTAAGCCCTTTATCATAAAAGTTCACATTTGTTTTCAGGTGACATAAGAAAGAGGCAGTTCCTCCCCTTCCCAACCCATATCCCTGGAAAGTTGTCCCTACAAGGTTCTGGAACTAGCTTTTAGGAGTGCACATTTAATCAGCCCTATCTAGGACTCCTAGCACACATTCCTCAGCTAATCGAACAGAAGAGATTACGAGCTGTCCTCCCCGTTAAGCGTGATTTGGAGACCTTTTTTTTTTTTTCTCTCCTTTTCTGTTCCCTAAGCAAAAGAAGATTCCCACGTTAGATATAGGAAGCTCACCGTGTTCTCAAGTTAAGCATTGAATCTCTTATAGAGAGAAAATCATTTGCCCTCAAAATAACTAGATAAATGGCTTTGAAATTCTAGGGTAATTTTTTCACTAGTAGATCCACTTAACTCTTGATTTGTAAGAGCCTCTCAAAAGATAAATTGTATTTATTATAAAACAGTTCCATTAAGCATTATATAGAAATAATTCAGTATAGCTTAGTATGAATCATTTTTTAGACATAGTTTGAGAAAAAAATTGTTCAGAATTTAGCCAATTAAAGGATATGCCATTATGCTGTCCTATATTTTCAAATATTTGAGTACATTCTGTGAAAATTCTTTTGTTTTTGCTTTGCTGTCACAAAACAGAAAGAAGAAGGAAAGCTTCAAGGACAGCTTAACAAGTCTGATTCTAACCAGTATATTAGGGAACTGAAAGATCAGATAGCAGAGCTGAATCATGAGGTAAGTGATAAATTTTGATCTTCACATATTTCTTTCTTCCTTCCTCTGTATTGTAACAACACTTTATTACTGGTTGTGACTGACTCTTTCATGGTAAATGTTTTCTGTAAATTCTTGATCATAATTCTATTTTAAATGATTGTCCTTTTTTAACAAGATTTTTTTCTGTTCCAATATTGAGGATTTATTTTCCTCAAACCTCTTTAATCATGATCTAAAATAGTCAATTAATATTTGCATAAAAATATTTTTTATTATAATTTAAGAACCCCTGATAGTTTAAGTGTCAAAGTGATTTCAATTAAACTAATTTTTTATACCAATAAATTTGTGGTATTTACCGTTGTGGAGAGAGGGAAGTCTTTTTTTATTCTTCTTTTTCTCTGCATGGTGGTATTACTGAGATTGCAAAAAAGGATACTTGCCTAATATCAGTTAACAGATTTCTTAGTATCTGAATACTTTTAAACTGGCACCACCTTGAATCTGTAAGATTCGACTCATGAAATTCAGATCGTTTTACTAGTGTGCTATATTAAGTAATTAATTAATTTTAACCAATGTGTTTTGATTAGGGAAATACTTTTTTGTTAATGTTGCTCTAGGTCAATCTCCTTGTCCTCTATTATTTTCTAATGATAAATACCTTTCTAAACATGAATGGAAAAGCACATTTCTTATCTTATCTTGAATTATTTGTATAATAATGTTCATTCAGAGTAAATGAGATTTGAATGGGCAACATAAACCTCTTTGTTAAGGCAAAAACTCATCTTGGCCACTAAGTTAATTAAAACCTCAAAGGAAAAAGTTTGGACATTACCCTTTTGTGGTATTACACTCTTCAGTTAAAGTCTCAGTGTTTTGAATAATACCTCCTGGAGGTAGTCAATCTAAGTAAATTCTGAATGAAGAAACAAAACACTAAGAAAAATGATGAATCTTAGATATAGTTTAATTTAATTTGTCTAAAAATGTTGGGGGTCATTCCTGTAAATACTGATTTTCAGCCATAATACCATTTGAGGGATTCAGGATTATGTATAATTTTTACTTATTTGTGTGCATTTTTTAATAATTTCTTCTCATCTAATAGCCAAGTATGAAAAAAACAAGTTACAAATAAGCCTGTTCCAGAAATCCGTATTCTTTTGAGAACCCAAGTATTATTCTTTGCATTGAAAAGGTATTCTCAAGGAAATTATGACTAAAATAAAACAATCTTCCATTTATAATTTTGACTTCTAGTGACAAGGAGGCCTTAATGTTGGTGAAATAAAAAATTTGTATGTGGACTGAGTTTGTTTCTAAAACTAGCCTAAAAATCAGTCAGCGAATATTAAATTTGCCTGTCATGTACCTTGACAAAAAATGATACTCTCATCAGGATTAGCAGAAAATAGTTCGGGGGAGGCTTACCTTTAACATCAGTTTTTCATGTGTGGCCTGTGAAAACAATCTTTTATGTTATACAAACATGCAAAGAAAATTAATCAACAGCTTGAATTTTCTACTGTTAAAGAGCTAGATTGTGCAAATTAAAAGCTAAAACAGTTCGTGATGAAATGCTAATTGTATGATTCAGAGTAGGCCAAAGTGCTGGGCTTAAGCAGGCGCCAGTTAGAAAACATGGAAGGAGGAAAGTGTGAGTACAGTGCAGCTGGGGACCCCAGGAGCTCGGAGGTGAGAGTGAGCTGAGAGTGCAGAGGTTGGGAGTTCAGGGAAGACCAGATTTGATTAAGAATTCACGTGACTAAATTCTGGGAAATAAGAGTAGATTGAATAGAACCAGTTTATGGTGAATCTTCAAAGCTAGAAGAGATTAAATTTACTTAATAATATGAAATCATTATAGGTCTTCAGTTGGAGATTCCTTTTTATTATGTTTTCTGAGCAAATGTTACATTTACCTGTTTTGAAGCTTTAGTACTAAAGAAAGGATAATTGATAACAAGTGAAAGTTTAATCCAAGATACTGGTTGCAGTATTATGAAAATTACTATTGGTTAGACCAGCTTCTTAAGAGGGTTAATTAAATAAGGCCACATTTTTCATTTTATTCATTTATTTTTTTTCACAGTTGACATACAAAATTATGTTTGTTTTAGGTGTACAGCATAGTTATTAGATATTTATATAACTTTCAAAAATGACCACCCCATTCTTGTAATACAGCACTTCACAATAAAAAAATATATATATATATAACCAAAATCAGTCTAAAATTTCCAACATAACTTTTGCCCATATGCTAGATTTTGCCAAAATCTTTGGCTTTCAACTTCCAAGCTCTGCAGTTCCTACTCTCATCACCTAACTAATTTGTCCCTAATATACCTCCTTTTCATAGAAATTTTTTAATTTGGAGCTTCTTATATACTGCCAAGATCTTCACAGAAGCCACTTTGGAAATCTTTGTTGCCCCAGACCTGGCAAAAGCTGTGGTTAAACCCTCCCCCCTCTACATCCTGTCCTTGTTGCATACATAGAAAAGAGCCCGGATCCCAATTCAAGTGCTTTCCTTATCCCATCTTCCACATCCCGCCTTCCTACCTGTCTGTTATCATAGGACCCACTATATACTAGGCACTGGGGTTTGAACTGAAGATAAAGAAGATTGAAACATAATCCATAGCCTTAAGGGGCTTACAGTCTATAATGAGAAGTACAGCATTATAGTAGCTATTATTCATTTAACAGTCATTCTCTGCTAGACACGGTACTAAGAGTTATACTTCCATTATTTCTTTTAAGCTTCACAACAGTCCTATGAGTAGGTAACATCATTATTATTCACATTTTACATATAATAAAAATGAACTTCTTGAGTATTAAATAATTCCTCATGGTCATACACTGGACAGTGATAGAGGGAGGATGCTAGTTCAGAGGCATATGACGCCAAGCCCATCCAATGCACTTAACTACCACATGCTATATAGCCTCCTTTGAAACATACAGGGGTATGTAAGCTGGTAACAGCATCTGGGCTGGGTTTTGAAAAAAACTTTCAGGCAAGTTGAGCATCAGGAACATCTAAACAAACAATTATAGGTACCAGGAATAAATAATCTGTCATCTCCTTTTACAGCATAAGTCTGTCTTCTCACTGCTGCTAACCACTGAAGACAAAGAATATTTATTTTCTAAATGCCAGGAAAGGGAGACAGAAGGAGGTAGAAACTTATTCTCATTTATAAGCCAAAAGAAATGCATGCAAGAATCATGCAAGACATATTGAGAAGTATGGTTCTATAGTTCAGCCAAATTACCAGTTGACGAAACTTCTCTGGGTCCTTTCAAGCCTTGCTACTATTTACAGTAGTGTTTCATGGGAAATTGCATGTGAAATAACTGATTGAAAAATGTTTTGGAATACAGATTATTTGTTTTTACTTGTTCTATGTGGTGATGTGTTCTGATGGATTTTCTAGGAATAGGTAAATTTATTCCAGATTAAAGATAGTTCAATTATACTAAAAAATAAATTTTTCCATTAAATGGTTTTGATGAATGTTATGATATCTTAATAAAATAATTTTAATGTGCATTATGTTCTTAAAAGGTTAGAAATGTATTTCTAGTTCTATTTGCTTAATAGGTTTTCTTTTTTTCCTTGGTTATAAGACTTCTTTTCAGCTAGTCTTCAGTTGGCTTTTCAGGTTCATTGTTCTATATTTTAGCTGTAGTTCCAATTTGGTCCTATGGGGAGGTTAGTGTAACATCCACCTCGTCTGCTGCCATCTTGGATTTCCCTAGCTTTTTTTTTTTTTCAATAACTTTTTACTTTTCAATTACAGTTAACACATGTTAGCTTCAGGAGTGCAACACAGTCATTAGACATTTATATAACTTAGGAAGTGATTACCCCAATAAATCTAGTACCGTCTGACACCATGCGTAGTTATTATATAATATTATTGACTGTATTCCCTGTGGTACTCTATATCCCCATGACTGTTTTTATAATGTAATTTACAATGTACAATAGTAATTTCTTCCCCATTTTCACCCACTCCACCTACCTCCCACCTCCCATCTGGCAACCATCATAATGTTCCGTGTATCTGTAAGTTAGTTTCTGTTTTATTCTTTTTTTTTTTTTAAGATTCCACATATGAGTGAAATCATATGGCATTTGTCATTCAGTGGTGGACATATTTAACTTAGCAAATACCCTCTAGTTTTTTTCATGTTCTTGCAAATGCCAAGGCTTCATTCTTTTTTTTTTTAACGGCTGAGGAATATTCCATTATATATATGTACCACATCTTATTTATCCATTTGTCTGTTGATGGACACTTAAGTTGCTTCCACATCCTGGCTATTGTAAATAATGCTAGATGAACATAGGGATGCAAATGGCTTTTTAAAAAATTTACTCTTTATAGTATTTTTTTCCATAGTCATTTAGTCTCCTATACCGCCCTCCCTACAGCAGTCACCATACTCTTGTCCATGTCCATGAGTCCTTTTTCCTTTTTGCTCAGTCCTTCCCCTCCCAACTGTCATCCTGCTCTCCATCTATGAACCTGTCTACATTTTCCTTGTTCAGTTTGTTCATTAGATTCCACATATGAGTGAAATCATATGATACTTGTCTTTCCCTGCCTGGCTTATTTCACTTAGCATACTTTTCTCCAGGTCCATCCATACTGTGGCAAATGGTAAAATTTTCTTTTTTATGGCTGACTACTATTCCATTGTGTAAATGTCCCATAGTTGTTTTGTCCACTCATCTACTGGTGGACACTTGAGCTGCTTTCATATCTTGGCTATTATAAATAATGCTTCAATGAAGATAGGAATGCTTATGCCCTTTCAAATTAGTGTTTTGGGTTCCTTCAAATATATTCCTAAAAGTGGCATAGCTGAGTCGAAAGGCAGATCCATTTTTAATATTTTGAAGTATTTCCATATTACTTTCCACAGTGGCTATACCAGTCTGCATTCCCACCAACAGTGTAAACAGTTTCACTTTCCCCGCACCCTCACCAACA